TCTAGTTTTTTGACAGATTCTTGCCATGAGGCATTCAAGACTTATGCCGCAATTAAAAATTGTTTTATTTGATTTTCCGCTAGATCATATGGCTTCCGGTAAGTTCAAGTTTTAACTTGAAGAGTTTTTGGTAAGGACCGAGTGAAGACCCCCAAGCATCTGTGGCACACGATACTTATTTAAGCGGGTTTTAGTCCAACAGGAATAGTTCGGTTTGGTGTTTCAGCGTTTAAGGTTGGATCGTCTGTTGTAGACGGTCTGGTGCATCATCTACAATGGCCTGGGGTCAGAGAGTTTTAGACACTTAGTGCTTATTTTGTAATTGTCCTGCTTAATTTTGGTTGCTAAATGTCAATGCATTAAAACTTTTCCGACCGATAAACAAATTTACCAATTATCTATACTTATTTTGCCATTCCTCCATGCACACATAGGTCCGCCCGTAAAACCTATATTACTACATTTCCCGTAAGACAGACAGCTCTAGCTGGTCGTCGGTGATTCGGGACCTTCTCCGGATCGTTGCCTAGCTAATCCTCCCTCAAGAAAGATGCGATATCACGGGGAGCTTTTCTTCTTAAAGCTACCGTCTTATTATAATCACAAAAAATGTTACTTAAGATCTGAGATACTCATCTCATAGGAAACTACTGCGAGGGAGTCAACTCCAAACACACACGACCAGCCAAAGGTCCTACGGGCCAGGTGATGATAAGGGTTTTACAGTCGGGACCAATGTATACATTGAGGAATGGCAAAATAAGTATGGATAATTCGTAAGTTTGTTTTTTTTTCAGGCGGGAACGTTTTAATGTATTGACACATAGCAACCAAGATTAAGCAGGACAACTAAAAAATAAACATTAAGTGTCTACAGCGATCGCTTTTCAATTATCTGAGCTGAGGTCATTGTAGACTGGACCGTCTACAGCAGACGACCCAACCTTGTACGACGAAACACCAAACCGAAATAGCCGTGTCGGACTAAAACTCAGTTAAATAAGTATAATAGGTATTCTTTGCATGCCACAGATGCTTGGGAACCTTCAACAAATCCTTACAACTACATGTCAATGCATCAAAACATTTCCGCCAGAAAACGAAATTTATAAATTATCGATACTTATTTTGCATTCCTATATGCATACATTGGCCCCGACCGTAAAACCCGTATTACCGCCTTCCCCGTAGGACAGGCACCTTTGGCTGGTTGTGTGTTTGGGCCGAATTTTTTCAAAGACTTAGAAGTTGGCTTTTCGGGGTCGGACGCTGAAGTTCCTCCTCTTACTACCTTGTTTTGGCAAATAAAGGGAGGCGCAGTGGTGCTTCGCAAACTTATGCCCATAGAGAGACGGAAAGCTCAAAGGATTTCCGAACAAAGCGTTAAGTTTCCAAAGCTGGCACAGATGAAAGCTGCCCCGAAATGGGCTGCTTATGGTCACGCCTCAGTCCTATCGCGCGCTCCGACACCTAAAATTCTCTCAAAGCAACGCAAGACGCAGGTGCGACTGATTTCTCTACTTCGGTTTACAATGTCAGACAACGGCAGCGTAGCATCCTGCGGTTGTTCATACCAGTGGATCGCTTAATCGCAGTGTCATTGGTCAATTGGGTGCGTCAGGGCGTGGTTGGCTAGATGTTGGCGGTGCCAGCATGTCCTGTCCTAGGAACGTTAGTGGTCACGTGACAAGCGAGGTGGAAACGCGAAACGAGACTGAAGCAGTAGCCGAAATCCCAAGGTATTATGCAACTCTAAGTGTGAAAATGCAAGAAGACCACAAACCCCAGTGAAAATTCATTTCATTCGAGAAAACGTATTGGTGATTGTAAAAATATAAATAATTGATGGGATGACGTGCACTTCTTTTTGCGAATTATATTCGAACGTTGTCGCTGGGATGCTTAGATGTCGAAAGGAGTCGTATCACGTGCCCATCAGTTTCCAAACCAGACATAAACGCTCTGTTCAAGATGGCGACCCATTTGACAATTTTTGTCGCTGTTTCACCAGTTTCTGCGCAGGTGAAGCATTTAAATAATGATCCTGAGCTTATCTTAGGACGTCACCGACGTTACCTCGAAGGCCATTAATACAATAGGTGGGTTAACCCATGAAATGTCCACCGAAATTTTGAAATGCATTCTAGCTTCGAAAAGATTAATTAAGTAGGGTCGTAAAACTAATCCTCATGCAGCATAATTCTATAATGATACAGTTACCTCAGGGTGCCTTCTTAGAACGAACTTATTTCTGACTACATGCGAGAATTATGCTCTGCAAAAAATGATTACTTAAGTAGCATGCAGTTTTCTCATTGATTTTCGATGCCCTTGAAACGTCAATTATATTTCATGGAAAACACAAACAAAAATAATCATTCTTTTACTTATTCGGTAGACAATCACGTCTTCTTCCAATTTTGTACTCGAAAGAAGAGTATAACTCGGTGTTAAAAAACTTTTCTAATTTCCGAATAATTTTGAACCCGCTCTGCAGTCACCCTTGCCGTATAATTTTCGCGTACGGAAAATCATATGTTTCTCTACGGTAATAAAGGGGATCATATGGGGTTTATAAAATTTAGCAGTTAATTTGAGCCATATTGTTAACTTTACGAGCTACATCGGCAAGTGCAGATGCATGACGTTTTATGAACGGCAATTTCACGGTATTAAAAAATCTCACAATTAGAGACTCCTTGAACCCGAATTATAGTTATCTTTCGAGTATAAAATTGAAAGAAGACGTAATTTTCTACTGAATAAATAAAAGAATGAATATTTTTTGCATTTTTATCATATAATATAATTGGATTTTTAAGGGCATCGAAAATCAGTGAGAAAAATGCATACTACGTAAGCAGTCAATTTTCCAGAGTATAATTCTTGCATGCAGTCAGAAATAAGTTCGCTCGAAAGAAGGCACCCTGAGGTAACAGTATCATAATAGAATTATGCCGAACGGCGCTTAATTTTACAACCATACTTAATTAATCTTTCCAAAACGAAAAGGAATTTCGAAATTTCGACCGACATTTCACGAGTTAACCCACTTACTGGAAATTACTCAGGCGCTTAGTCAGTAATACCCCGATCATCGGTTTGTAAAGTGGATCACTGAACGTTTCAGACGTTCATGGAACATGAACTGCCGGAATCACATCCCCTTATTACAATCAAGAATGTGTAATGTTGCGATGGAGCGATCCTCATCCACCTCATCTGATGGGATGGAGAGTGATTTAGCTGTCTTGGACCTTGGAGGAATTCGGGTACACCAGCATATGTGATACTTGGGTGACCTTTTAAAGGCGAAAATGGCGCCAAAATATCCATTTCGACCTCGTCAGTCATCGAGTGTAGCACCCTTCGAAGTGTAACGGCCTTTTAGGACGCAAGACTCGAGGTTAAAGTCAAAGAGATATTTCTGCGTATCCCATCAACCAATCAGATGAAGCGAGGTAGCGCAACCGTTGGGCTCAAGTTTACGTATTTTCCACCCGAGCGCTTCTGCAGTAGAAATGAATTAATCGAATTAAGTGAATGAGGCTCAGTAAAATGCCAAGTCAATCCAAATGTACCAGACAAGCATTTAACGATACAAAACAACACATGTAAGTTTAGGCATAAAAGTCAAGTTCTTGGGGAGTAATGCCCTCGTCTAAAGCAGTATTATTACAATGTGAGAAAAAGTCTACTCAAGCTTTGAGCTTTCGAACGGGCGCAGGAGTCTATTTTTAAAGATAAAAGCAGGAAATGGGGTGATTAGCCGATCAACGACCAGTAGCGCTGGTCTGGAGGTAACTTTGCAGGAATACGTATGACGGCGCCCGATCAATAAAGCAATTGATAGGATATATTCTTTCAGTGCTCGATCAGTTTCCTTTTTTCTTTCAGAGGTATATGAATGGAACTCGAAAATTTACCCCCTTCGGTCAATGTTAACTAGCATTTTGCTCAAAAGACCCTTCTCTTGAAGTATGAAGAAGTCGTCATCATTCTACTAATATGACGAGACCAGCCCGTGTCTTATGCAGTGGGTTCAGAAATCGCTACAGCGTTGTACATCGTAACGTCTATGGAAACTAGCAATGGTGTTTAAACATATCCTCTGATTCTCACCTATCTAATATGTTAGTTGAGTTTATGTAAAATTCGTAAACCAGGCAGTTCGCAAAATTTTCAAAAAAATTGAAAACGACAGTTCTTGAAAGCGTCTACTAAATAACTAAGTAACGTGAGCTTGGTAGTCATCTGGTGGATTCTAGATGCATAACTTAGAAAATCCTGCTTGGGCAGTCAACTTTCTCTATCAGATTAGGTGGATTCCAGACGTTGCAGTAGGTTGGGCGGGTAAACTTGACCCAAATGTGATTAAACTCGCGTCGTCCGGTGGGGCCTCATAGCTCAGATGTTCAGAGCGTTGGCTGTAGTAAAGACTTCCCTTGCTGTCCTGGGTTCGAGTCCCACCGAGGCACCGTGTTTTTCACAGTTGGTGAAAGTGCATTATTCGAAATCTGCCAAAACATCTCTAGTACATATGTCCATTATCCAGCTGTGAAGGCCTGCAAAGTACCCCAACTGTTCATCCTTGAAATGGTTGGGAGTTGGACTAGCCAACAGGTCGCAGGATCGAGCCTCAGTGAGCTGAAAATGTTGGGGTTTAGTGCGGTTGATTGTTGATCGCTGGTAAACCAAAAATGGCCATTCCAGTCTCCTTTGTCTTTGTCATAATTTCATTCGGTCTATGCCTGCAACGCGATCGGTGTGAGCCTCTCATGCGAGTGAGGTGCGTTCTTTTACCGGAAGGGACCTGTTCATATCCTCAAAACAGCACTAGATTTCTGATCGCATTCTTCGAGGAAAAGTACATTATTTCACTGTTAAGAAAGCGAAGATTTATCAGTTCACTCAAGCCGCATTGAAAACAGCGAAGTGTTGTCCATTTGTTTGCGTTTTAGGGTATCCAGTCAGTATCCTCGGTGAGTAAAACTGGTTGGACTTATCCCTTTACTTGCTAACCTGCCATAAGAGGTATTATAGTTGCCAAAATTAGTATCCTATTTACTTGGTCTCAACTTACATTAAAACACCGAAGATCTCAGCAGTGAAGACCCCCCCATATGTACATTGGGGGCCCCTACAGGTACCCCTAGGTTTATGTTTAGAAATGCAAGATTAATTTAGGCTAATCTGACGGTAGTACATCGGATTTGGCTTTGAAATATTCTCATCTTGGGCTTACAGGCAAAAGAGTTGGCAAAATGCGAGATACTACTTACTAACTACCCCACGAGCATTGACAGCTCTCATTCCAAAGGAAAGCTTGCCTAAGTATGAAGCCCACCGTGTTCAGCCGCGGATTTTTGGAAACGCCACAACTTGGCTATGATCCTCGTAGACTGAAGAGGCGAAACTCGCAAAGGAGATGGGCCGATTCAGTAGGATAGCTTGCTCGCCAGGTTTCACTAAACTTTAAAAGTAAGAAGAGTTTATCTCGGCCAGCCAACTGATCTGCTGCACCACTAGGACCGTTCGCTGTGCGGGTCAGGGGCACTGGTTTGACCAATCAGCGCGCGTCGCGACGCGCAGTGAGTGCGCTTGTACTGGCGCAGTCAGAAAACGAAGCCTGTGTGACACGTCACGCGAGGACGACCCGTCCAGAGCAAACTTGTTCATAGGCCGTAGTATTATTTAAAACTCCCTATGCAGGGAACGGTTCGACCAGAATGTAGCTGAACATCTACGCGGTAGCCAGATGAACAAACAAGGCTGTTTTAGCACCGTTTTAACGTCATAACTTTAAATGCATGCTGTAGGTTCAACCCAGATACCCCAAAACTGTTTGTTTTAGTTAATTTCGGACAACCATCGTGCACGGGATTTTCATGTAATCCCAGCGCATACTGCGATCTCATCAGTGGAGTACCAACATGCATCTGCAGATCACCGCTCTTCCAGGAAGTCGCCAACGATGCCAATGGACCTCTGTGTGGTTGTAAGTGAGGCGGTTTTATGACCAGTGTATGCATGCAATTAGAACCGGCAAAAACCCTCTGGTAATACTGCTTATACCCGATTGATAAAACGTAGGCCTCATTGCTCAAGTCGCGATAATTACTCAGTGACCGCTTAAACCACAATAAACCCTGGAGTGGACCAGTACCTGTGTTTGGGTATTCTAGCTGATAACGGTCCATTGGTTTTTAATGATCATCTGAGTTTCCCTGGACGTTCTAACCTAGCTTTCGTATGGTTTCAAGGCCTTCTGAGAGACGTTGTTTCTTACGGACAAGCATAGTGGGACGAGATCACTGGAAACATACTGAATTCTGTCAGCTACAATGAATGCCAAACACGCATTGCATTCTGGTGCGCAAGATTTGTCATTCCAGTGATTAGGGGTCAACTTGAATAAGTTGTCGTGAATAAAACGGAAACTTTTTAAAAAAGCTTCATTTGAGTAGCCTACAAAAGCAGTTAACTTTTGAGCGTGACTGTCACAAGATACTGCATTTGACATGAACAGCGTTCGACGTATGTTTTTTTGAGAATTTTACACCTTACATCCAAATCGATTCACCGACTGATGCATGGTTCAGCTGGGTATACCGTTTCCAGAAATGAAAGATGCCACGATGCGCACTTTGTTCCAGGCAGATACGACCATTGCCTTCTGGAATATATGACCTCTTCGCCTCACCATTTGTTGGTGTTCATGTATATGGGCCGAAATTGGCTGCTTTCGTCCTCAACGTCAATAGAAGATCCATATTTAACATTCTAATCTATGTTTCCTCTGAAGCATGTCGGTTTGTTGATCGCCGTTCACGTTGCTTCTTCTTTCTAAGGCAGTTTTCGCCCGTCTCTTTGGTCTCTCACCGTCGGTTAGTGTTCATACCTACGGGCAACGACGGAGTTCCGAGCTTTGCTGCAGTTAACAGAATCAAACTTAAGCAACTATTTTTATTCTGTTCGATAATTTTCTTTATCTTGACGGTGAGTCTTGGCTCGGCGTATTAGGCCGACTTTATAGAGAAAGGTCTACCATTTGAAACAGAACCTCGCAGGAACATTCATGGTGTAGGTCTGAAGCGTCTCCTCTCTACAGCATTTTGTCAGACCCAGCAGAATCGCAGTAGGCAGAGAAAATCCGCCAAATGATACAATCATCAGTGGAAGGTGAGCGCTGACCTATCGCGTCACATGACACACTCGTCGTGTTGTGCCCCTGGGCCAAATCTTAAGGCTCTCCAGCAGCCGCTCAGCTAATTCCGTTAGTATTATAGGCAGATTAACACTACTGACATAGACCTGGGAGAATGGAATGGCCATTTACGGTTGATTAGTCGTCAAAAGCCCACCATACCCAACCCCGTCTTTTGCAAACCTTGAATTTGAGCTCAAACGCACAACGAAACAAGTGAGTCCCATAACGCGATCGTTAATAAACCTTATCATAACCAATAGAACATCGAGTTCGTGAATCAATGGAAGAGGCATTGGAAGTCTGACCACCCAGTCGAGGGTTCGAGCCTCAGGGGTTGCGAAAACCCGAGGTTGGCGATTACTGGCTGATGACGGCTGATAAGCGGGAAATGACCACTACAGTCTCCCTTGTCCTTTTCAGTAGTGTGCTTCTGATGCCATCATCTCGTCAGCTGCAACGTTGACCTAGTGTTTCATTGAAATTCCCCGCCCCAATCTACAGTGAGTGACCGATCTCATGACATGTCGGCTAAAATTCTGAAATGCGTTTTCGATAAGGAAGGATTACTTGGGCGCGATTGTAATAATGATTACCTTGCGGCATACTCCTATGGTATTTCGGACTCAGCGGGATGTCAGCCTTTGTAAAGACTGCTTTTCAATCTCTTGTAGAAACCGTACTCGGTTAAAAATGACTACTTATGTAGCGTGCATTTTTTCACTGATATTTGGTGGTCTTGCAAATTCAAATATATTTTAAAGAAATCGCGAGTAAAAATATGTTTCCCTCCAGTCATTTGATAGAGAATACCGTCTGCTTTATATTTTATATTCAAGGAAGGTGCATAATTAGGTCCTAAAAAGATTTCCAATCGCCGAATAATTTGGAGTTTGATCATTCATTGCATTAGCGCTTAGTGGTTTCAGTCTACAAGGTGCATGCGTTCCGCGCAAAGAAAATCACATGTTTTTCTATGGCATTAAAGAGATATCATACAGAGTCCATATAATTTCGCAATGGATGCGGACTATGTTGTACATTTCATGAGCAACAGTGACAAACGGACAGGTACGATGCTGTGTGAACGGACGTCGCGCGGTCTTAAAAAATCTTGTTTAAAAACCTAATTATTCTCCCTGCTTAAGTATAAAATATAAGGAAGACGAGATTCTCTATCAAATGACTGGAAAAAAGTATATTTTTACTCGTGGTTTCTTTAAGATATATTCGAATTTGCAAGACTATGGAAAATCGAAGAGAGAAAAGCATTCTTTGTAAGTAGTCATTTTTTACCGAGGACGGTTTCTACAGGAGAATTAAAGGCAGTCTATTCAAATGCTGACGTCCTGCCAAGTCCAAAATATTATACAATTATGCCGCAAGATAATCAGCATTACAACCGCGCCCAAGTAATCCTTCCTAATCGAAGACGCATTTCAGAATATCAGCCAACTGGTCATGAGATCGGTCACGCACTGTACTTTCTTGGAGAGTTAGCCCAAAAGAGCAGAATTCGCATGCCTGTGATGCGTTTATCTTCCTGTTTTCAGTCTCACCTGGTGGTCTCGCGCTGATTATCTGTATTCCAGTCATCGCCCTCATGTTACTGATCGCGGCTGGAATATGCTGCAGTTTCTGTGAAAGACGCCGAACCGCCAAATTCCGGCTGTTGGAAAATGTTGCCGAGGAGGACAAGGAGCAAGGCAGACTGAGCGCAGAAGTTCAATCCACTCACTTCTAGAGGTCTGGTAGCCGGACCAGACATTTGTAACGTCTGGAATAAAGTGTTCTCTCGAAGATTTATTTTTGGTCAAGCGAAGGTTGGGAATTAAAAAAAGGCTTGTGGAGTTTTATAGATTAGAGTTGCGAAAATTGCCGAAGCAGTACTCAAAAGACGAGTTGTACCCCGTTCCCATTTACAGGGGGTGGGCTAACTCATGAAATGTCAACCCAAATTCCGAAATGCATTTTCCTTTCGAAAAGATTAATTAGGTAGGACTGTAAAGCTAATCAGTCTGCAGCATAATTCTATAATAACTCAGTTACATCAGGATGACGGCTTTTGATTGAACTTCCTTCCGGCTGCATACAAAAAACATACTCTGCAAAAATGGCTACTTATGCAGCATGCCGTTTTTACATTGATTTTCGATGCCCCTAAAAGTTCACTTATATTTCATGGAAAACATGCATAACAATATTCATTATTGTGTTCATTGGGTAGAAAATTACGCATTCTTTCAATTTTATACTCGAAAGAAGGACATAATGCGGTTTTTAAATAGGTTTGTAATTGTGGGAATTTTAAATACCGTGAAATGGCCGTTCTAAGACGTCATGTCTCTGCATTTACTCATGTGGCTTGTAAAGTTAACAATATGGCTCGACTCCACTGCTAAATTTTTAAACCCCATATTTATTATCGTAGAGAAAAGTGTGGTTTTCCGTACCCTGAATGCAAGTGTGATGGCAGGGCGGGTTTAAAATTATTCGGGAATTAGAAAAGTTTTTGAAAACCCGATAATACCCTTCATTTGAGTATACAATAGGATGAAGACGTAATTTTCTACCGAATGAGTAGAAGAATGAATACTTTCATGCACGCTTTCCATGAAATATAATTGGACTTGTAGGGGCATCGAAAATCAATGAGAAAAATGCATGCTACTTAAGTAGTCATTTCTTACAGAGTACATTTCTTGTATGCAGCCGAAAGGAAGTCCCTTCGAAAGCGGGCATCATGCTTTAACTGCAGACTGATTAGTCTTGCAACCCTACTTAATTAATATTTTCGAAAAGACAACGCATTTCGGAATTTGGGTTGACATTTCACGAGTTAGCCCACCCACTGTAATTGTAATGGCCTGCGGAGAATTTATCGAAAGTAACGTGTGCTCTCTCACTCGTTTTTATAAATAAATTTAAAGTCTCCCTGTTGGGGAACGCACACTCACCTACTTATAATATTTCGGGCTATCTTCTCTTTCCTTAATTTTTTGAACGAAACTTCGCCAATCCGGTGTTTCTATGGGTGAGAATTATCGTTAAGGCAAAAAATTACCTAAATGAAACGTTTTATTTAGGTTATGAGACGCAGCTCCTCTACAATGTGATAATTAGATATTCAGAAAAGTTGAAAAAAGCAGTACCTTCACAAAATATGCGAATTCAGTAGGAGCTGCGAGCTTCCTTTGCTTGAGCCGTACAACGCATACAATGTCGCATTCGATAAATCCCTTTGAAGGCCTGTTGTGCTTACTGATCGTCTGCATACTATTATTCCCTGATTGGAAACGCACCTCTACCAATTAGAGCTGAGCCCACATACCTGCTCTAGATTAGTGGTTCGCGAACACCAAGTTTCTTGGGCCACTTACCCACATGCAAACGGTTTCGCCTTAAGTAGAGGAATCTTTGATCTCTTGGTTAGAACGTTTCGAGCCAACTGAAATGTTCACCCCCAAAAACAGCTAGAGACAAGAGTAGCCGCTACAGTAATGAATATCCAGAAATGGCAAGCAAATTTTGTCCATTTTTTAACAAAGTAAATACTATTTGGACAGGGCCAGATTCATCTGGACACGGGTAGCCGAACATGTACCAGTGTGTGGGGAGAGGATTTACGTCAAATCTGAAGTAACAGCTCAGAACCCCGACACACTCTAAGCTTAACGAAAACGAGATTCTCGCGGATGCGGACAAACTCATGAGCTGCGAGCTGCTTAAGTTATGGCTCCCTGATCCTTCAACAATCACGGCGACCCTACCTCTTAGTTGATTGTAAGTGAAAATATAGGTCTGACACCACGTTAAAAAACACGACGTTACCGGTGATGATATCAGAACACCGTGTTTCACTTTCTGCAGAAGCTCGTCATGGCTTGGTAGATTATAGCGGCGTTGGGTCGTAAGTTCGACTGACCTTCGGGTTGGAAATCATTAGGTCAAATACATGGAAGCCCGAATGGTGTCCCAGGCCTTACCTCCCAGATTACCATACTTGATGAGAGCGTACAAATTCGGCCACAAATGTGACTACTCGTCCCCCGCCGACTAGAATTTGCGCACTCACTAGAGGCTTATGCTGGTTAACAAATTGTCAAGATCTTGCAGGCCTAAAAAGGAGGCCAAACGCCAAATGTAGCCAATCAAGACATCCTGTAAGTCGTTTGAAAATATCAGTCGGAACTGGAGGCTCACTGGGGTGACTGTAAACGTCTAGATACACCACTGAACATTTGTAACGTTCTGAATAAAGTGTTTTTTGAAGATTTATTTTTGAACTAAACGAAAGTCAAAGATAAAAAACCGGTTAAATTTTATACATTAAATTAGAGTCCATTTGTGTGGGAAAACACTTCAATATTCTTATTGTATCTCGAGCTGTCTACTCTTTCTTCAATTTTCTGGAACGAGAATTCGTTATTCCGAAGTTCCTGCGTAGGAACCTATCCTAAAGTCCAAAAACCGACTACACTTATCGCCTCATTTGGAATATGAGACGCAGCTTATCGATAATGTCATCCTAAGAAATCCAGCAAAGTTGTAAAAGACAAAAAGGACACCTCGCGAGTTATAAGATCAGTAAAAACGGAGAGGCAAATTCCATAAAACTACCGCAAAAATTGAGACACGGACGCAGAACACCCGACATTTCGGATTCCTTCTAGAACTCATCACCAGAAACCCCAACAGATACGGATAGTTCATACACAAGGGGTGTCATATTTATGGAATGCACTTGCCATGCTACCGCATACCTAGGAGGATTCACAGCTCCCCCCTTCATCAGGAATTGTTGTAGATGGCGTGATAACTGTTCGATAGCCGACGTTCGCGTCGTTAATTACTGCCATTTCAGCACGTGTGTTGGATGCTGGTGTGATGATTGCTCTACCATCTGACCCACCGACGCTGGCGTTGGAAACAGTGTTCGTCTGAGTGCTCCCCGTGTGGCTGATCGCTCCACCCAGGCGCAGTCTCAGCATCGAATGCGGACGGGGAGAGATCGTTTCAAGCAGACCTTTGCACACACGATTGCCACCTCTAGCGAGAAGTTCGGTTCGTCGAATTTGAATGTGTGATCAGATGTCATCATTTCTCCAAACGGCAACAATCGGCAGATGGCACCCCAAAAAATCCGTTACCGATAAGAATGTGCCGGAGGACTGCATGAGTATTCGTCCATAGGTTGACGAAAGGAGTAAAATAAGGGTATTATGTTGAAGAACGGAAAACTTTAAAGGCATACAATCCTAGACAGACGGTGTCATCAGCTAAGCAATTTCACACAATGGCAACTCTCGTCGGGGTCAAGTGTGCCGATGTTTTCAATCGCGTCCTCTGTGTTTATTGAACGTGCAGTTATAAAAGTAAGGATATGAAGGTAAACGGTCATGAACAGCGCAACGCAGAAGGTTCCCTTTAGCAAACTGCATTCCGCATTCGGTCCCATATTCAAAAAAGCAATTCAGCAGGGAATACGAGCTGGATCGACTTCACATTATCTGCCCCTTCAAGTAAATTCGACACCGCGCCCATTTTTGTTACCATATAATGATGAGGTAAAACTTTATCGTTTGAAAAGCAATTTCGGAAAAAATTCTTAGTATTATTAACATTTATCCACGCAATTGAAGGTCGTGCGGATTTTTTGGGTGCCATCTCCCGATTGTTACCCTCCAAACTACTGCCGCGGCCTGACTACACTATTGAACGTTTCCAACGTTTTTCAATAGTGTGATTTTATGAGGATTGAGATATGACTGACGGTTTCAAAGTTCCCTTGAGTGGGAACACACATCCATCAACTGGTTAGTGTTCACCAGAATACTTCAATCTTCGACATATTTTTTCCAAGCTGCTTTCTTACATGAAAATTAGCTAGTTTCAGATATTCCAAGGATAGGAAATGTTCCAAATGCGAATTGCAAATACCAACAATGTCCAATTCGAAACCTACAACAACGGACACAGAACATCCACTGGCCTCGGAAATTCGATACGAGATGCAAGATTCCAGTTCTTGGATTGAGTTTGAGCCATTTCCTCAAAGCCTTGGCGGTGACCGAGTTACAGTACACAGGGAATCGTTGCGGTTTACTGAAAATTTTCCCTTAGGACTTCGGAAATACTGCTGAGCATTTAACCGTAAGCAAACGGTGGAGGTCCAGGTAGAAGTAGACCTTATCCGATGCATTAATTTCAAGAAATTTTAGTTGAAGTTAGCCGCAGAAGACAGCAATGATAGAAAATGTCCGGAATCAGTTCTCAAATCCGCATTATCTACTAGGCAGTAAGATTAATCCGGACGTTGATGGACGATCACGTAGCAACCCTGACGAATGATCGGTATCAATAATCGAGTGGACGTTCATTTGTCGGGACCCACAAAGCACTTGCCAAACCGAACGTTCCAAAACAGGAATATGGACCTCTATTAGTACAGGCTGCAATGCGCTAAATATCAGGGCTAACGAGTCCTCGTGTCCATTAACTGAAGCATTAGTTAAAGCTCGCTTAATGACAGGTTACTTAATCGTTCCTTCTCGCGTCTGTTACCAGCCACTGGTGTACACTCACTAACGCGTCGCCAACAGATCGCTTATGCAAAGCACGATTTCAACACGTCGGTAGTCGATGCTGATCATAGACACTCCTATGAAGCCTCCCAATCAGGTTATTGTGTGATTCGACTGGAAAAAGCCGCCAAAACAACTCGGTCTAGCATAAGAAGAAGAA